AAGTGAAATAAGCGATCTTGTTTGAGTCCCTATGTAGCTTCTTTTGGTATAGCACTTGAATCTCCGTACTAACATAACACACAAATCTATGTCTCCAGCCAAGTTTCTCTTCTTTGCTCAAAACCCAGCCAACTACCTCCTGGACTTCTCTACTTGTATATCTCACCTGCAAATTTGATTCAATGTGTCTAAAGCTGAAATCAATACTTGTACCCCCAAATTTCCTCTTATTCCTCTACATCCTATACAATTGTTTGGTACCATCACTATTCCAGTTGACCAAGTCAGAAACTTGAACTCTACCAGAATTCTCCCTTGCCCCTGCCACATCAAATCAGCCAAGTCCTGATGATTTTTTATATATCCATCTTCTCTTATCCATTTATTCTTCTACCACTTAAGTTGTAACTACCGTCATCTCTAGCCACAATATATCTCATTCTAAAACAAAAAATGGATCCACTTAAAGTTATTTAATGTTAAATAAAGTCCTCTAGACAAAGCCCTTAACATGAGATATGCATTCCTTTTATTTTCTTGGCCCCAATTAACTGCTTAGCCTCACGACTTCTTTCCTCATTGATTACAATTACACTTTGATGAACTACTTCCATTTGCCTCTGTGCTTTTGTTCATGCAAAGCTTCCTGCCTAGAATGTTCTTTTCCCTCTTCACTTTGTCTTGAGATTCAACCTAAGCATTATCTTCTCTGACCTTCCCTACATGGGTTAAATGTGCCTATTTTGCAATCCCAAAGGAGTCTCTATTTCTGTTTACCATGGCTTTTATCACCCTAAATTTAATGATCTATTCATATCTAGCTCTCTTCTGAGACTGAAAAATCCTTGATAGCAAGAACCTCATCTTATTTTTCATTCCATCTCCAGGACCTAGCTCCACCCTTTGAATACAGTTGGTATTGAAATCATACTTGTCTCTACAATGAAGTAGCTGACATTAGAAAAAGAGAAAAAAGTAAAGATATAACTGTAGATTATATCATTTAATCCTCCTAATTACCCTGTAATATGGGTATTACTATTACAGAGGAAGAAATTGCGTTTGAAAAGGTTTCTTGTCAAAGATATCAGCTGGTGAATGTTTGAGCTGGATTCCAACCCAACGCCATTTTTCTTCAAAATATACATTAAGTCCACTAGACAATTTCCTCTCCAATGCTTCCCAGTCAGAGGAGAGCTAGAGTTTGCAGGGAAGAGGAATCCAAATCCTTGGGACAAGGATGATTATGATGAGGATTCTGACTAGGACAAATTGTTAAGGAACCTAGCTTACAAGATGATAGATAAATTACATGAGAGCAGAAGCAGTAGCAGGGAAACTTCGCACATCAGAGGTTGTCTACTGACTTATGACTACTTAGACTTCCCTGGCAAGGTACGTGACTGGCCCAAAGTCTCAGTCAAGGTTAAAAACCACATTTCCAGGCCGGGCGCGGTGGCTCAAGCCTGTAATCCCAGCACTTTGGGAGGCCGAGGCGGGTGGATCACGAGGTCGAGAGATCAAGACCATTATGGTCAACATGGTGAAACCCCGTCTCTACTAAAAATACAAAAAATTAGCTGGGCATGGTGGCACGTGCCTGTAATCCCAGCTACTCAGGAGGCTGAGGCAGGAGAATTGCCTGAACCCAGGAGGCGGAGGTTGCGGTGAGCCGAGATCGCGCCATTGCACTCCAGCCTGGGTAACAAGCGCGAAACTCCGTCTCAAAAAAAAAAAAAAAACACCACATTTCCCCTGACTCCCTTGGCACATAAATACTATGTGCCACAAATATTAAGGCAAATTTTCCCATCTAGGATATCACCATGCTATGCCCACAAGTTCTGTGAACCCAGTATATGCTGTGCAAGTGTAGAATTTTTTTTTTTTTTTTTTTTTTTTTTTGGTGATGGGGGCATGGAGGGGCCAAATGCAGAATTTTTTATGTGAACCTACCAGTATGTGAAAAAGGATGGGATGCACGTAAGAAATATGCACACACACACAAAATGCATGAAAAAGAATCAGACTCTGAAGTCATCTAACAGGGAAGAAATGATCTCCATGAGCAGCTGATTTAAAGGTGATAGACTGGAAATATGTATGGCATTAGCTTCAGATGCAAAGAAGGGCGAGGGTGCTAGATCAAAGTTATGAAAATTGTCAAGATAGATTTAGTTCCTTTAGCAATGGAAACGGAAAAGTGGTAAGACACAAGGCAGAGAAGGGGCCAGATCATTCAGGGCGGTGTAGCCCGCCCATTGTTAGAGCTTCTGCACTTCTTCTGACATGGAAGCCAAAGGGCACGATCTTGTTTTAAAAGGCTTCTCATTTGGACTATGGTGAAGAGAATAAACTAGAGGGACAAGGGAGACAGGAAGCAATTTCAATAAACAAAGTGAAAAAAAGGGGACATGGATCAAGTAAGGAGCACTGAATGTAATGTGAACCGGTAAAACTGGCAAAGATTCTGAAGTTAAAAGCAGTGGTTTGTTGATGGACTGAATATGGAGCATAAGCAAAAGAGTCTAGAATTATTCCAAGATTTTTAGATGGAGGTTCAGAAAAGGAGGGGGTGTTTCAAAGGAAAAAACAGAGAGGACAAAATTGCTGTAAAATGTAAGAATGGGACAGATGACAAATAGTTCAGAAAGGAGGGTGTCTAAGCCCAGGACAATAAAAGAGAACATAATTAATTGAAGGATTCTGGAGTGAGGAGCAAAATAATGGCAAGTGTGGGAGGCTCAAAAGGTAGAAGAATGCACCAAAAAGACTTAACGGAGAGAATAAGCAGATGTAAAAAAACGCAAAGGTTAAGCTCCGGGTATCAGCATGTTTCCCAAAATGTATCCCTATAAGGGGCACCGGCTGACATTCCGTGTCTGTGGAGTATACGATTCTCTGGTAGTGAGAAATAGTGAAGTCCTTGAGGAAGTGAAAACATTCTACAAACTTTCTCTTCTATTAAAAAAGCCACTGGAGAAAAAAAACTGTGGTACATTCACACAATAGAATACTACATAACAATGAGAATAAATGCTCTGTCATTGCATAAAACAATAAAACAGATGAAACTCACAAATATAATGTATCATGGTAGAAGCCAGAAAAAATATATAATTATATCCATGTAAAATACAAAAGCCAGGGGAAATGTATCTAGGTTTTCAGAAGTCCCTATTCCTTAGAGGGAGGGAGTAACCGGGAGAGAGCAAAAGAGGGGCTTCCAGGGTTGCTGGGAATCTTCCAGGTTGAGCTGGGTGCTGATTACACAGCTGTCTTCAGTTAGTAAAAATTCATTGAGCTGTACTTTTCTATATTATATTGACTTCTATAAAAAGTTTTTAAAATGCCATTAAACCCGGCCATATTTCCTGTGTCCTGGGAAGAACAGAGCTATCTACTTAGAGTTCTTATTACAGATTAGCATTTATCCAAAGTAAGAGCAGGAAAACATAAGAAGCTTACAGGATTCATCAAATAATCTCATTCAGCTACAAGGACCTTTGGCTAGGGAGATAGGGAAAGGCCTTGATTTCAGAGGATGGAAAGAACAACTTTCAATGGATGCTCAGTTTAAAACACGCATATGTTTTAGGGGAGATATAATCTTTTTTGTAATGTTTTTTCCCATCTCTCGGGAAATGATGTTATGCTGTGCTTCAAACAGAACTGCCAAGTTTAAGAGGCTGTTTTCTGTAAACAGGCCAGCTGGGCCATAAGTTGCACGAAACGAGGGACAAGCGACTTCTTCGGAGAGCAGAACAGAACACCACAGGGGATTGGGAACGATGCATCCAATAAAACCGCCAGTCATTCGTCTTTATCTGGCCACATTTCATGATTTAAGAACTCTTGTTGTCACGTTATCATCAATCAATTACAATGATTGAGCAGCCTCTAAAAACCCAGAGTTTTTAAAATGCAACTATCTGTGACCTAAATTTCCTGCTGATTCTGTTGGCCCCAGGTTAGGCCTGTTTGTCTATCATCAAGGGAGCCAATTAAAATAATAAGAACAGGTCAATACTGGGCTTTCCAAAGCTTTTATAAAACTCTTCACACTTCTCCAACCAGTGCCAACTCAGCATGTCCACTCCTTGCCTGAGCTCTTGGTAAACGCTGCCCCTAATTACAAATATTTCACAGAATGTATACATTATCTAAAAACCTGGGAGTTTTTTGGTTTGTTGCATTTTTTTCTTTCTCCCTTGCTTGCTTTCATTTTAGTCTGGCTAAGCAACAATTTTGCAACTCTGAGCAGGCAACATAAATGATGTCATTTTGCTGTATTCAGCAAAGGAACTACATTTTGGCAAATTAGGGGATCTATGAGAAGATGAGGATCTAAATTTTAGCTATCTGAATGGAGAATGTGATACCGCACTCCCAAGCCTGTGCTAGAATCTGACTTCCAAGATCCACAGAACAAGCGGAGACTACTGAATGTTTAAGGAGGAGGAAGAAAATGGCCAGTAAGAAAGGCCAGTTTAAAAGTAGTCTGTAGAAACCATGGCAGTTGTCTTAAGCGCTATTTCAACACATTTCCTATCACTCGTTTGGGAAGTAGGAGAAGGGCATCTCAATGGCTGAGGCCTCCAGCTCCCTTATAAGAGTGACCAGCAACACGGAAATTCTATTCAGTAACAAAGCACCATTCCTCACATGCGGAAACCTGCGGGCCCAGTGCAGCCGGGACGAGGCGCTGGAGTCCTCTTCTACAAGCATCCCAGCCAGAAGCTCTGCAAGTCAGACCAGCATATTCAAACGCACTTCTGAAATGTTCTCTGCTCGAACGGAGAAGTCTGGACAAACTCCAGAAAAGGCTTGAGTGCTGGAATCAGGGCGCGAAGTCAAAATCATCAAAGTAGGAAATTGCCTTTAGGGGTTTCTATTTTCCTTTCTCTCACTTTGGTCCTCCCATGTCCCCACCTAGAACTCACAGTATTCTTCCCAGCACCAGCAAATGAACCATCCCTCCTCTAAGAAATGAATAACTGAGCTTTGCCCAGTGGCAGTATCACAGCCAATGGGGTTTATCCGAGGCGCAATTACTGCTCATAGAAAACTTTTCCCAACGCCCCGCCATGACGACTTGAAATATAGTCGGCATTGGCAATTTTTGGCAGTCTCTACAGGGAACGAATTTAAAAGAAAAGAGAGAAGAAATGAATGACTGGATGGCCGCATTTAAAAAGAGGACAAGAGGTCAGGCCCAGTGGCTCACACCTATAATTACAGCACTTAAGGAAGCTGAGGTGGGAGGATCACTTGGGGTCAAGAGTTTGAGACCAGCCTGGCCAACATGGCAAAACACCATCTGTAGTAAAAATACAAAAAAAAATTAGCTGGGCTTGATGGCAGACACCTGTAATCCCAGCTACTCAAAAGGCTGAGACAGGAGAATTCCTTAAATCCAGGAGGTGGAGGTTGTAGGGAGCCAAGATCACACCACTGGACTCCAGCCTGGGTAACAGAGCAAGAATCTGTCTTGGTGGGGTTGGAGGGGAGGGGAGAGGAGAAGAGAGAACGAAAGAGAAAGTGAGATGACTCTTTAATGGTTAAATTTCTGGCTTGTTGGTAGTTCAGCAGAATTTGGCATCAGAAGCCTTTCGGGATCTCTTGAAATAACATTTTACGGAAATGAACTGAAAGGTACTTCATCTTCTCCTCCTCTTTTAAAAATGCACAAGTGTAGATTCAGAAGGAACATCTCATTTCCTTAAAGGAATAATATGCAAGGCTGTAACAGAAGACTGCTATACCTCTTAACCATAGCAAGGCATTTAGCATCTCTGGGTCTCACAAGTTCTTGATAAAAAGGAAGATAATACCACACACCTCACCAGGCTTTCATGGAATAGAAGTGAGATGAACACCATATAAAGTACTGCATATTTGTTTTACTGCTACTATTTTATTACCTTCTCCAAAAGGATGCTTCTATTTATTGAGAGAGAGGCCTGGTGTGCGAGGTGTATTTATGTTCCTCTAAAGATTCACCTGTCCACTGCCCCCAAATGCTGAGTCTTCGCCACTTGCTTCATGGAGCCCCTGAGCGACCGCTGCATGGCCCCACTCCACACCGCCAACTCCTTCAGACGTCCCTCAGGACCACCTTGACACAGTCGCATCACCCCCTTATGGCGTGCGCCACAGCAGCTCCACACGCCTAGGTCCAGCCCAGCTACTCCCGTGGAGGCTCTGGTAACCCTTGTAGCCACCTAGAAGACCTGGAGAACACCATCTAGAAGTAAGGACAGTATCGGCAGGGCATGGTGGCTTATGCCTGCAATCTCAGCACCGTGGGAAGCCGAGGCGGGTAGATAACTTGAGGTCAGGAGTTCAAGATGAGACTGGTCAACATGGCGAAAACTTGTTTCCATTAAAAATTCAAAAATTAGCCAGGTGTGGTGGCATGCCTGTAATTCCAGTTACTCAGAAGGCTGAGGCAGGAGAATCGCTTGAACCTGGAGGTGGAAGTTGCAATGAGCCGAGATCATGCCACTGCACCCAGCCTGAACAACAGAGCAAGACTCCAGAGTCTTAAAAAAACAAAAAACAAAAAATGGGGAGAGAGATCCAAGATGGGCGACTAGCAGCAGCTCAGGATTGCAGCTCCCAGTGAAGGCGCAGGGAGTGAGTGGACGCCAGACTTCCAGATGAATTTTTGTTGCCTACAGACCAGGAGATTCCCAGCGGAAGAGCAGCACGGGTCACCAGCATGACTCCGGTGCAGCTGTTTTGCCGGCATCCTGGCGCGGCAGTTCTCAGTGCGGAGTATGCTGGACTGGGTGCCCTTTTAGTTGGTGTTTGGAGCTCTGGGAAGGCAGAGTCGCCCATTCAGCTGATTGAAAGGGGGATGAAGTAGGGAGCCAGACAGGGAGATTCCTGGGCAGAAAAGTGCTAGGAATCTCAGCGCCACAGCCGACCGGCTGTGGTCACCGCACGGGAAATTGCATAGATCCCGTTGCCTTTTTGGCAAGCAACTGGGGCACCTGGGAGAGAATTGACCATTCAATTAGGAAAGGAAAAAAGGGGGCTCTGAGGCGGGGAGCCAGGTGATCCGGCTCGGCTGGTCTCACCTCCACAAAAAAACAGCAATTGGAAACTCTGAAGGTCGAGTTTCACAGCAAGCACAGCTGAATCCAGGAAGGTCCAGCTCTGTGGGGGAGGGGCGTCTGCCGAAGGAAAACAAAGAAACAGCTATAACATCACCACCAACAAGCTGGACATCCACTCAGAGACCCCATCTGAAAGTCAGCAAATACAAAGACAACAGGTGGATAAATCCACAAAGATAGGGAGAAACTAGTGCAAAAAGGCTGAAAACATCCAAAATCAGAATGCCTCTCCTCCTTCAGGAGATCGCAACTCCTCATCAGCAAGGGAACAAGGCCTGATGGAGAACGAGTGTGATGAATTGTCAGAATCAGGCTTCAGAAAATGGATAATAAGAAACTTCTGTGAGCTAAAAGAACATGTTCTAACCCAATGCAAAGAAACTAAGAAACTTGAAAAAAGCTTTGATGAAATGCTAACGAGAATAGACAATTTAAAGAGGAATATAAGTGAATTAATAGAATTGAAAAACACAATACGAGAACTTCACGAAGTATGCACAAGTTTTAACAGTCGAATTGATCAAGCAGAAGAAAGGATATCAGAGGTCAAAGATCAACTCAATGAAATAAAACAAGAAGACAAGATTAGAGAAAAAAGGGTAAAAAGGAATGAGCAAAGTCTCCAAGAAATATGGGACTATGTGAAAAGACCTAATCTATGTTTGATAGGTGTACCTGAATGTGACGAAGGGAACGAATCCAAGTTGGAAAATATTCTTCAGGATATTAATCAGGAAAACTTTCCCAACCTAGCAAGGCAGGACAATATTCAACTCTAGGTAATACAGAGAACACCACAAAGATATTCCTCAAGAAGAGTGACCCCAAGGTACATAATTGTCAGATTCACCAGGGTTGAAATGAAGGAGAAAATGTAAAGGGCAGCCACAGAGAAAGGTCAGGTTACACACAAAGGGAAGCCTATCAGACTCACAGATCTCTCTGCAGAAAACCTACAAGCCAGAAGAGATTGGGGGCCAATATTCAATATCTTTAAAGAAAAGAACTTTCAACCCAGAATTTCATATCCAGCCAAACTAAGTGAAGGAAAAATAAAATCTTTTGTGAACAAGCAAGTACTCAGAGATTTCATCACCACCAGGCCTGCTTTACAAGAGCTTCTGAAAGAAGCACTACACAAAGAAAGGAACAACCAGCATCAGCCATTCCAAAAATATACCAAAAGGCAAAGAGCATCAACATAATGAAGAATCTACATCAACTAACGGGCAAAACAGCCAGCTAGCATCAAATGGCCGTATTAAACTCACATATATTATTATTAATCCTAAATTTAAATCGACTAAATGCCCCAATCAAAAGACACATACAGGCAAATTGGATAAAAAGCCAAAACCCATTGGTATGCTGCATACAGACCCATCCCACATGCAAGGATCCACAAAGACTCAAAACAAAGGGATGGAGGAAGATTTACCAACCAAATGGAGAGCAAAAATAAAATAAATAAAAAGCAGGAGTTGCAATTCTCGCCTCTGATAAAAAAGACTTTAAAGCAACAAAGATCAAAAGAGGCAAAGAAGGACATTACATAATGGTAAAAGGATCAATGCAACAAGAGCTAACAATCCTAAATATATATGCACCCAATACAGGAGCACCCAGATACATAAGGCAAGTTCTTAATGACTTATAAAGAGACTTAGACTCCCACATAACAATAGTGGGAGACTTTAATATCACATTGTCAATATTAGACAGATCAAAGAGACAGAAAATTAATAAGGATATCCAGGACTTGAACTCAGACCTGGAACAAATAAACTTAATAAACATTTATAGAACTCTCCACCCCAAATCCACAAACATACATTCTTATCAGTACCACATCACACCTACTCTGAAAGTGACTACATAATTGGAAGTAAATCACTCCTCAGTAATTGCATAGCATTTCACAGGTTCAAATGAAATATTGGTTGGCTGCTTGTTTGTTATTTCCCTCCCTTATTCCTTCCTGTCTCCATTGTTAAGCACAATTATTGGCATAAAAGAGATTTTCAATACCCATTTTTAGACTGCATTCTAGCCTGGGCAATAAAGCAAGACTCCTGTTCTCTCTCCCTCTTTCTCTCTTTTCATTCTTTTTTCTTTCTTTCTTTCTTTTTATTTCAAAAAAAAAAAAAAAAACCAAAAACAAAAAACAAAAAAACACCAAAAACCGAAAACCAAAAAACGAAGGGCAGTGCAGTCATTCCTTATTTCCTTATGACTTTAAGATCAATGAGAAAGAAGAAGACTAGAAAGAACTGACAGATAAATTCCTCACCAGCTTCTCCCTTACAAACTATTCCAAGTAGCAACAATGCTAGAATAAGTTGTGCTTTGCGGTGCCCTGGCCGGCTCAGCAGTGCAGCCCTGAGTGTGCTTTTCTTCCTTCCCTAACTCAATCTCCTTGTTCCCTCCCTCTTGCTGCTCCTGGATTCCATCTACCTTTCCTTTTAAGCACTACCATGAAAATTTTGCCTCAACTTGGTTTCCTAGGAAAACACAACGAAGATACTGAGAGGATGACACAAGGGTGAATTAGGCAAATAGAAGCTTCCTGAAGCCACTGAACTGTTTGAGTTTGAGTGGGTTTGCGTACGTGTGCATGCACGGTTTCTTCAAATGTATAGTTACATAAATTTTGAAACAGAAAATCCTTGAAGAAAGGGAAAGAAAATCTTTGCCTATCTTTATATGATTAATGAAAAACAAACACTAACTGGAGTGAATTTTTTTAAAAAAGAATCTCCTTGTTGTTTTACAGCTGATGGGTGTAAAATGGAATCTCCACGCCCTGCGCTGACTTGCACAGCCCTAAGCGACCCGCTCTGCCTCCCTCTCCTTTTATCCAGTACTGCTCCTGCTCCCACCCCTAGTCTTCCCTTCTGTTTGCTCCAGCCGCTTCGGCCTCCATTCACCCAATTACTCTTCTCTGCTTTATATTTCTCTACTGACCTTTTCATCATCTTACTTACTATAGGTTTTACTTACTTATTTTGGTTATTGCC